CTGGGTTTGAACCCGCCACCTCTAGCGTATGGGGCCGGCACCACCAGCCATTTTGGGAAGGACACTTAGAGACATGTACTTCCTGGTGTCTCTTCTGTGGGCAGAGGACACCTTCTTAGGAAGGAGTGATAAAATGCCACCTGGGTAACAGATAATACAACTGGGTTGGTGCCTTTTGCACCCAAAGTTCATACCTTGATGTCACTTTTCTTGAATTCTAACATGGAATCTTTTAAATAGATGTCTAGGTTAGGGTGGGGAGTAGGGAAAAAGGCCCTGGCCCTTCTCATGTGCCTGCGGGAAATAAGGTAAAGATATTCATTGAGGTGAACTCTCCTCATATCAGCTAGTACAATCTCACTCCATGGGGAAAGGGGAGGAGAAAAAGGAGAAGGATGTAGCAAGGAAGAAAATAAAAGAGAGCAAAGGAGGAAGGAGACGGTGGAAAAGGCAAAAAGATTAGCACCAAGAAGGCTTTGAAGAGGCATGGGGAACTTAGAGAGTGTATTGTTAACAAAACCAAGATGAGATGGAATGGCTTTACACTTTAGATTATGTCTTATATAAAAAGAAAATGAGCTGGCAGATTACAACATCAGAGATGTTGCTTCTCTACCAAAGCAGTGAGCTTGGGAAGCTCTCATCATTTCACCCTTTTACTTAGTTTACTACTTTAGAGAAGTACAAGTAATTGCAATCCTTTGTTGGAAATTATAATTTTAAAAGTATTTGGTTGTGAGAGAATTATTGAACATCTTTTCACAATTAGTGCAAATTGGGTAGTTCAAAGTGGAACTATGCCTGGTTGGGAGTAGATCAGAGTAGAACTATCCCTTTGTTAGGACCTGACATTTTAGGTCAGCCATATTTACATACTGGTGTCCTGCAAGAGTGTCCAACCTTTTGGCTTCTCTAGGCCATATTGGAAGAATAAGAATTGTCTTAGGCCACACATTAAATACACAAACACTAACAAAAGCTGATGAACACCAAAAGAGATCGGTGCATAATTTTTGTAATATCTGTCACCACAGATAAGCAAGAAAAATCCTCACATAATCCACATGCCACCCATGGACTGTGGGTTGGACACTCCTGCATACAGACATTTGTGAAGTCTTAGTTATAGTGAGTTACCAATCCATGTTGACCGAACATTCCGAGGTCAGCCTACTGCATTCTATTTATAATCACAACCAGCCACTGTTCTATTAGAGGTAGTAGTAATCATTTTTTATCTTGTAATTTCTGAGGCCTAACACATTACAGCTTTAGTAGACATATATGTTGAAGATAACCACAAGCAAATTATTTTAAAGAATTAATCACTTTTGTGTTGCATACACCCTTGAAAAATAAAAAGAGGTATCTATTATTATCTATCTAAGAGAAATAAAGATATCTGAACATTGCTGAAAAGAGAGAGTGTGACAAAGAAAATTAGAATGAGACCCAGGTCTTTCACTGGCCAGTGTAGGGCTCTTCTCTTTAAACCTATTGACACCAAGTAAAACTGATACGGAAAATCTCATTCACAGGTCAGGAAAGAAATAGCCAAGCCTTAAAGAGCAAACCATTTTCCCAAATAAATACTATTGTACAAATTTCCATTTTTTAAAATTATTGATATAAATATATATTTTTAAGTTATTTTTCTTTTAAAAAACAATTACGCTTAATATGCCGGCATTCTTTTAAGTAGCATATTTGTAGAATCTAGTAACAATTGTAAATCACATATGGCCTTAGAAAATCCTACTGCATTTTCTTTCAGGAAAAAAGGGTTCAAAGTCAATGAGACTGCTACTGCTTCTGAGTTATTGAAAATCCCTCAGTATTGGGCAGCGCTGGTGGCTCAGTGAGTTGGGCGCCAGCCCCATATACCGAGGGTGGCAGGTTTGAACCTGGCACCAGCCAAACTGCAACAAAAAAATAGCTAGGCATTGTGGTGGGCACCTGTAGTCCCAGCTACTCGGGAGGGAGGGTGAGAGGCAGGAAGACTGCTTGAATATACGAGTTTGAGATTACTGTGAGCTAGACTTATACTACCGTACTCTAGCCTGGG